TGTTGGAGAGTCGATATAAAGCGTTACTAATCGTTCTATCATTTTTTCGATGGCTTTTTCATATAAATCAATTCTTTTCTCTGGTAATTGACCTTCACATTGATTATAAACTGCAGCAATTCCACTAGCTAATTGTGGATTAATTGTCAAATGAAAAATATCTTTGTTTTGCGTTATCTCATCATATAATTGATCGATATTACTTTCTTTCCCAACCCTCCTAGTTTTAACGGAAATCTCGTTTATACATTTCATATATGAACTACAAAATAATTTGAGAGCATTATTAGACATGTCTTTAATAGTTAATCTTGGAATAAAAAATTTGATATCTTCAAAATAATTTCCTTCAATACGACGTGTTATGATAAATCGATTTCCGATAGTAGGATCTCTTGTATTATGTATATCTTTTTGTTCATGAACGGAATAAGTAAGTTTATCATGCATAACATCATAATCTATTCCTCGTTCTAATAATGTATTTATTTCCTTTATTAAATCAGATCGGTCGACATGGACAGGAACTTCATCTAAACCTTCAAATATAACTAAAATATTTCCTTCTACTAATGATTCTTTCATCAAAAATGATAATTCTATTCGTTCTTCATCACTGAAAAAAGTTGAATTAAAAGTAGAATTTTCATAAATAAACTGAAGCAAAGTAGATTTTTTTTCCGTAAGATTTTCTTTTACTTGATCAACATATTTCCATATTAGAATAAGAATTGGTATTTTCTCTTTTCTTGAATAAATATGATCAAAAAACATATTTTTCTCACGTAAACACTGCTTAGCCATATTGATAACCAACCATTTTGATAGTGTAGTTTTACCTGAACTAGGATGACCTAAGACTATGAAATGTTTAAACTCATTGTATGCTTGCTGAATTCGATATTGTCTTGCTTCTTTAAAGTTATTTTGTTCCAAAATACTTTGTTTTAACCGATTCACTTTAGCTTTGATAGCAGCCGCCTCATCATCAGTAAATATTTTTTTGTTGCTTAACACGACGTTTAGCCATTGATCAATCATGAAGTC